ACAAACTCACTCTGCTGCTGTGTCCTTGTGTCCCTCCAGGTCAGAGCCTCTTGCTAAGGAACATCAAGACCTGGGAAAGATGCCCACAATGGAGCGCCTCCTTCTGGCTCTGCTTTTCCTCTTGCAAGGTAAGATGCTCCCCGGTTATATTGACTGGAGGAGCGAGGAGAAGGCATGATCGTTTTCTGTGTTCTGGGGCGCCGACAGCCATGCCGGGGCCCTGGGCAAGGGGGCAGAGGGGCTCCACACGCCCAGGAACGGCAGTGCCTTTGGTGGAAGGGGCAGGGCTGGCGCAGAGGCAGCGGGTGCGTCATGCTGCCCCACAGCCCTTAGAGCTGCCTGGAGCGGCCGTCTGGTGCCCAGGGGTCCAGGCCCTTTAAAACGGCTGGGCCCTCAGGTAGATGTCCCCTCCCCTCCCCCCACCAGTTTGTGTTCCTCTTATCCTGCGGCACACGTGGGGGTGCTCAGCTCCTCCGAGTGAGCTTCGAGTCCTTTCAGAGGAGGGGTGGGCCTGGCCTGAGCCTCAGAAAAACCTCCCTGGGCCTCACTTAATCTCTCTGGGCCTCAATTCCCCATCTGGCCCATGGGGATAAGAGGCCCATGTGTGGCTAAGCACATGCCAGACTGGAAGTCACTCAGCCCTGTGCTAATGGGTTCTAACATGGCTCCCAAGATTTTCAGAGCAGCACCTGGCACGGTGGCCCTTCCTGCACCCCCTGCCGTAAATAACAGGCAGCAGTGTTGTGGGGACACCAAGGAGGTGACCGGGGAGCTGCTAGTGAACAGGGCACCTCAGGCAGAGCGGCACCTCACCATGCAGGTCTGTGTAACGCAGGGCTCCACGGAAGCAGCTGCTGTGCGGACAATTTCCGATTTTGTGGCGACAGAAACCAGACCAAGCAAAGCCGCCTTGTTTATGAGACGCAGGAGGCGAACATCACCATCGAGAACAGCCCCGAGATGCTGAAGATAAGCGCACCGTTCCCCACGGCCTCTGTATTCAACAGCAGTTTGCAGCAGCATTTGGGGAAATACCGCTTCTGCCTCCGCTGGTGCAAAGAGAAGAGGCGTCTCCTCCTCACGTATGGCGGAACTGACTACATTCTGAGTAACACGACCGAGTCTTCCTTCAGCGTCTCCTGCGCCCCTTCGCTGTCTAACAAAACGAGGGATTCGCTGCTTTTCAACGTGTCCTACACCCACGACAAGGCGGCCAACAGCTCCCTCGGCAGCGCTGCCGTCTACTCCTTCCAACTCCGCGGTACAGTGGAACCCACTTATTAAAAGGGTGGGAGAGCTTGCAGCCACCCGCATGGGCACTCTTGGGAGCTAAGCGGGGATGGCTCATGCGTGGGAGGGTTTTGGGAAGCTCCCACAGGCTGCTGTGGCTCTGGATGCTAGCAGTGGAGAAGCCAATTCCCTCATTTTTCCAAAATGGCCACTGGTTTTGGGTTCCAGTTTTGGGGCATCTGTTTGTAGTTCTCTGGGCTCTGTTTCCCCACCTCTCCCACTGAAAGGTGCTGAAGTGCCGGGTCTCAGCTCCTCTGAAATCCTGCCTAAAGCATCTCCGGTTAGGCCCCCACAATAACAGAGTTGCCAAGGTTACGCATTTCACCAGCTCATCCCTCCTCTAGTCCCAGTGCGCCCCCCCCCCCTTTCGTGGTCAGTCGAGCGGCCTTCAGCAGGGTCTCAGCCGCAGGGCATCCGCCACATGGCGCCCTTAGAACATCCGCTGGCTGGGGACAGCTGAGGCTAAGATGGAGGCGAGGCTGGAGCGGCCCCGGCTGCACGCTGGTTAGAGGCGTGCCGAGGAAGAGACGGCAAAGCTGCTGGCCAGGGCTCTAGTGCCTGCTCTTACCCCCAGCTAGCCCCTTCCTTACAGCTCAGTGCAGTCGACAGGACCCCCCTGCAAACTGCCACAAGCCCGTCTCCTGTGCGCCGGGAGAGGACTGAGACAGGCCAAGAAACTCACCCCCCAGGGGGCTGTCGGCCCTCTCCTGCCATGTGCAAGAGGCTCCAGGCCCAAGGCCGGCTCGCAAAGGCATCGAGACCCCTACAGATGCTGAGAGAGGCTTTTGAGGCTCCCCTTAGATGCCTAAGAACTTGGGAAGTCCAGCCCCAGATGCCTCCCGCTACACCCATGCTCTGCTTGGCCCTTCGGGCCTACCCATCCTGACCAAACTCCCAGCCCTGGCGTGCCCCTCGCTCCTGCTGATGTACATCCCCTGGGTTCAGCCCAGTCCGCCTCCGCCCCAATCGATCAATAGCGCGGTCACCGGAGAACACCGTACCACGCACACGCTGCTGGCGGGGGGAGAAACCAGCCCTGGCCCCTCCTCCCAGAATGAATCACGATGTTCTCCATTCTTCCCCCGCCAGCCGCTGGAGACCCCGGCAGGGCCAGCGCGGTCATGGAGAACGAGACTGTGGAAGAATTAACGAGCTTGGGAACCACCGTGAGGAATCCCAGCAGACCCGCTGGAGACCCCGGCAGGGCCAGCGCGGTCACGGAGAACAAGATTGTGGAAGAATTAACGAGCCTGGGAAACAGCATGAAGAATCCCAGCAGAGCTGCTGGAAGACAGACCAATGCCCTAGACTCATACCAGTGAGTACGGGACGTGTACGGCGCCCGCTTCCTGTGCTCCCTGCTTAGGCCCCAAGCCTCACCTGCCCGAGGAGTGAGACCGTGGTGGCGGCATAGCACGGGTGGGCCACCCCCTCTCAACCAGGCCACTGACTGGACGGCAGGGCCAGCGCATCGGGGCTGACCCCACTTGGCTCAGCAGGGGAGCGGGGCCGGGTGTTTACCGCCCACCCTGGCTATGCCCCTGGTGTGTGGACAGCGATGGCTTTCCGAAGGGGTAGGTCAGAGGAGCAGCCTCCCGCCCTGGGCAGCGGGTCCCCACAGCTCTCCTAAGAACGGTCAGACTGAGTCAGGCCAATGGTCCATCCAGGCCAGTGTCCTCTCTGCCGACAGTGGCCAGCACCAGGTGCCCCCGCGGGAGGGAACAGAACAGGGAATCCTCACGTGATCCCGCCCCTGTCCCTCATTTGCAGACAGACAGAGGCCGGGGCGCCATTCCTACCCATCCTGGCTAACAGCCAGGGCTTGACAAATGCACTCGCCCGCTCGCCCGTGGCAAGTAGATTTTACCAGCTGGCGAGTGCAGGGGCGGACTGGCCCGGTGGGCGGTTGTGACGGGCTGGCCAAAGCCTGCGCTACAGGCAGCACGGGCCCACCCGATCCGCCGGGCCGGAGGAGGCGCGGGGG